GTCTGGGAGAACTGAATGCATCCTAATTAAAAATAGGACTATTTTGCTGCCAGCCATGAAGCAGAGTGTCCCTAGCTTGGTGTAGTCCTGGGGTATCCTCACTTTCCTCATTCTTCTTCCCTTCAGCATGGGTGGGACAGTAGGATTGAAGCCCACACCTGGCTTCCCAGTGCTCCCAAAGTGGGGAGTCAGAGCCCCATTTGCTCTCATGTTGCTGGCCTTTGTGATGTGGTGCCTGATTCATGTTCCTTAGCACCTTACGGATGATCATTTTCCTGATGGGGAACCTGGATGTGTCGAGAGATAAAACAACTGGTGCTTGGGTGCTGGTCCATGTGAGGAGGGCACAGGACAGCCCAGCATAGGACAAGTCCTCAGAGCCTCAGGGGCCCCAGTCCGAGCTGAGTCCCTGCTCTCCTTTTTGTGATAATGATGGGATAATTATTCTGAGCCTTTATCGGTGTTGCTACCTACTCTCTGCTTTAGGGCCTTTCACATATTTTGTCTCATTTGATCTTAAAAATAAGTCGGCGATCAAGCCAGGGGGTTGTTATTAGATCTAGCGTGTGTGTTGTCCGGATCTGTGTGCGTACATGTGGTATGCATGTATGTCTGCGTTTGACTATATGTAGGCTGTACATGCACATATGTGTGGCCGAGTCTGTGTGTGTGGTGCATGTGACCACATTTACACCTGTAACCTTATAGATGCGTGGGGCTGTGTGATATGATATATGTATATGAGGTCTGGGTGTATACACGTTTGTGTGTGAATGTATGTACATGCTGTGTATGGTTCACACACGGCAGGCACCAAGAGGGTGTGCTGTGTGAGTGTGAGCCTATGGGCGTGTGTGTGTGCTCCTGCATGTGGCTTGGGCACGCCTGCTGCTTGGCTGAGATCAGACAGGAGTTGAGAACACCATGGCTGCAATAACTGTGATCACTGGGAGAAGAGGTCTTGTCTCTCTCCTGGAGATTGATTTCACCCGGGGAAGAGCGCTCTAATTCCTGTGACTCACTCGCCTGGAGAGTTCAAAGCAGCCAGGTGGCAGGAGTTGTCTGGGATTTCAGGTTTCAGGGTGATTCTCTCATTCTGCTCTGATTATTAATTTATTCTTCAAGCCAGTCCTGTAGCTCAGTTCTTAACCTGTTCTGTGCCATGGGCCCCTTAGTAACCTGGTATAATTATTATTATAGAATAATGCTGTAAATGCATAGAATAAAATGCACAGGATTATAAAACAAAACAATTGCATTGAATGCAACTACTAAAATGTCAAAGGCTCCATATATGTGATGTAGTAAAGCATGTGCTTCTTTACTGATACATCAGTGCAAGGTCAGTGCTACCGTAGATGGGCAGCTGAGGTGAGCTCAGATGATGCTCTAGGTTCTATGGACATGCAGGATGGCAGGCTCACAGGCCCTGTGGTTTATTACCCAATTTCATTCCCGAAAGAAACACCAACTTCCAGTTGAAGTTAGTGAAGGTAAAAATGTCTTTCCTGGTTCGGTTGTGCAGTCTTAAGTGGAACTTGTACACTATTTGGGAGTGACAAGACCCTTATGAGCACCCTGTTCAGTTTCTCCTCTCACTTGTGCATCAGAAACACAGAGCTTTTTGTGACCTAACTATTCATCCAGACCTGCAGATGGTCTCCAGGGAGGTCCTAGGAACTGGCCTAGAGCTTCTTGGTGCTGCCAGCGCCCCTGCTGAGGCCCCTGGGGTAGGTGACCTGGATGCAGTGTCTCACTGGAAAGGGAGCTCCTCCCAGCCCCAGGTCTGGCCCTGTGGCTCAGCAGAATCCTGAGGAGTGCGGCTGCAATTGCTTTTTCAAGTTGTCTGGCTGATGCCAGGTGCAGGGCTGTGTAACCATCAGTAAAGAGAAGCTGTTGACCTTCCTCCTGGGAAGCCTGTGGCTCCCAGGGCCTTGTGTTGGAGTTTTCATGGAGCCATGGGAATTGTTCCAGGACAGACCACCAGGTCCCCTGCTGAGGTCTGGGAACTGGATCCAACCCCTCCCCACTGTCCCCAGGTGGCCTCTGGGGCCCAGGTAGGGCTGCTGGCTGAGGCTGCCTCAGAGGAGCTGCAAGGAGTGAAAATGGCTGCCTGGGACCCTGGGCGCCTGGTGTTTACCCCGAAATTGTGCTAATCCCGCTAATTCCTGTGATTTACACAGACTCTTGGCTCGTCTCCTGTCTTCCTCTCCGGGGAGGGGTGCCTAGGGGAGGGCAGCAGCCACTCTATGGAAGGTGAGACCAGGGGCACGGTGGGCACCTGCTACCGGTCAGCCCCCAGGGGGCTAGAGCCCAGGGCTTCTGTGTGCACAGCTGCTCACCCTGGCCAGAGTTAAGCTGCCACAGCCTGGGTCCTGGGAACGAGAGTGATTTCCTTTCTTTCTTGAGCACACTCTGTAGCCCTGTTCTTGTGACCATGCCCTGAGGCCTCAGGTGGCATTTTGGCAGAGGACTGGAGTGGTGACCTGTCCCTTCTCACTCCGTAGGAAGTGGCTTTGGGCAGTTTACTTCCCCATGGGAGCCTCAGCTCCTTCCTGGGCAAGAATTGGGAACAACATCCGCTTTGCCACTTAACAGGGCAGGATGCTGGCACAGGGAGCTGATGCTACTGAGCTTTCATCAGTTTAGGCTGCTGGAACAGAGCACTGGAGGCTGGGCAGTGTAGGAGGAGCACAAGGTTATTACTCATGGTCCTAGAGGTCAGGAAATCAGAGACTGAGGATCCTGAAGATTCAGTGCCCTTTCCTTACTCATGAGACCATGGTTGCATCCGAACACAGTGGAAGGGGTGAGAGGGCTCCATGGAACCTCTGTTAAAGTGCTCTGAGCCCTTAATGAAGAGTTAGTTACTGAAGCTCGGTGTGGTGGCTCACACCTAACCCCAGATACTTGGGAGGCTGAGGCAGGAGGATCAAAGTCACTTTGGGCAATTTAACAAATTCTGTCTTGAAACAAGAGGGAGCTCTAGGGGTGTGGATCAGTAGTAGAGGACCTGCCTAGCTAGCATAAGGCCCTGGATTTGATCCTCAGTACTTCTTAAAAGAAATTTAGTGAGTGAATGTGCAGCTACCCAGCAAAGTCTCCTCCTTGTGCAGCCTCAGCAAACAGGACACGTGCATGACCACAGCGTGTGCAAGTGCAGTCCCAGATAGTGCCGAGGCATTTGCTCAGCCTTTGGTAGGGGGTTCCCACCCACCAATCTTGCCACCCTGGGATTCCCACTCTGGTTCTGGTTACCACTGTGCAGTTGAAACAGCTCGGCCTCAGGCCCATCTTGGTCTCTCACTGGGAGGTGATGGAGCCTATTGCTCCTCCTCCTGAACACATCCTTCCTGGGTTGACTTCCAGCACCCCATGCTCTCCTGTGGTTTTTCCCTCTTCCTCCTTCACAGCTCCCAGCCATTCTGCTTTCTCTTCTGGGCTGGCACCTCTTGTGTCTCTGTACTGGAGCTTCCTCTTCCACTGTAAGGGCTGTCTTGGCCAGTGTCTGCCTTATTCCCTCTTGGCCCATGACTCCTCCTGGGGCTCCAGATTTGAGTTCCCAACAGTCTACACTGCAGGTCTCAGTAGGCACCTTGAATCTCACGTGACCCAACCGAGCTTCTGATTTCTGTCCCCCAAACTGCTCCTCCCCTGTTCTGCTCTCTCTTTTTGGTGGTACTGAAGCCTGAACCCAGGGTCTGCACATGCTAGGCAAGTGCTGTCGCACTGAACTACAGCCCCAGCCCCTCTCAATCTTTGTAAATGCTACCACCATTCATCCACCCTGATGCTCAGCTGGAGTCCTCTGGGACACACCCTCCTTTTAAAACTTTTGACTTCCATATTCTATTCTGTAGTATTTGATACAGATAGCAGCATGTGAAAGTGACGAAGCACCTTACAGAGATGCTTCAGATGTCACCCAGCTGGAGTCGGTGCCCTGCGTCCAGCTGGGTGCCCCAGGCTTAACCACAATGCCCCCTTTCCCACTCCACACATTTAGTCCACAGCAAGGCCTGTCTGCTCTGCCAGATGGGGCCACATCCCACCAGCTGCACTGCCACCACTTCCACCTGGACCACTGTTGTTGGGGCTCTGTGGGTTGGTGTAGGAGCGCTGCCTGGCCTGCCCCACCCCACTGTCTGCTTTTCGTGGGCCGGGAAAGCAATCCTTTACATCATGGGTCACAGCTTGTAACTCCTCCACTCAAAACTCTGCAGTGCTGCACTGCTCACTGGCCAGGGAGCTCCCTTAGAACTTCAGTGGCTCCCCGGGTCTCCTGGCCCTAGATCAGTACTGTCCGTTTGCCCCTCCTGCTCTCTACCCAGCTACTCTGCTTTCCCATTCATGCTGCCTCCTACGAACTGAAATAAACCTACATTTATTTTCTCCCTTATTTATTTGTCTCCCAAGTAGACTGCAAACTCCATGTATTACACCAGGGGTGATGTGGGATGCTTAAAAAGGAACTTAAAAAATACTTTGACTGAGTGCATATGAGTCAATAAGCAATGCAAATGTGTGGCATGAGTAGGGGAATAAGTGAATGAATGAGCTTCCAGCTCAATAATTGAAAGATGGATTTCGGTGGGCAGGGTGGTCCTAGATGGCTGTCTGTCACCTTTCTTTGAAATCTTCTAGGTGGTTGTAATTATATTTACTTTTATTTCCTCTGATTCTAAGTTGGAAGTTACTCTTTCTGATATCATTTCTCATGTAGTTCTGATCACTCACACCAGTAGGAACTTGTTGCTTAGATTTTTCAAAATCTGAGTAAAAGACAATAAAAATATTCTGCTGTTGTCCATGTGGTTGTTCAGCAGACCAGATGAATCTGAGGATGAATAATTCTCAAAAGTAATTAAGCACTCCTTCCCAATTATAAGAGCGAGGAGGAAGCTGGTGGCTGGAGAAGCGAGTGGCAGCAGGAATCTGGGTCAGTGCCTGCCTGCTGGTTGGGGTGCAGTGTTAGTGAACGTCTTTGTCCTCTCCTTCAGGGTTGCCACCCAGGACTATGAGCGGCTGAGATGGAGACGTCTAGCCCAGCCACTGCCTTGGACAAGAAAGAAGCCAAAAGCGGGATCCTGGAGGGCAGCGCTTTCCCCGGCCCGGGTAAAAAGGCCTGTCCTCTCGCGGTGGCCGCGGCGGCCGCCGTGGCTGCCCAAGGAGGTACTTTCTGTTTTACGCTCTGTGAGCAGCAGGGGTGTTTTTCATTAGCCCGTAAGGATTTAACGAGAGTGGTGGCCCTGTCATCAGGGACACATGCTGGGTTTATGGAGGGCAGCGAGCAGGGCACCCCTGCTCCCTGGAATCCCGGGCTGAGTGACAGTCGCTGGCAGCTTTCCTTGGAGGTCTGGCCACCCCAAAGCCTGAGGACTGAGGCATCTCAGATTCTGGTGGGTGGGGCCTGAGCACAGGGAGGGGGAGGGAGGAGAAGCTGCTGGGTGACCCTGGGCGCATTCAGCTGGCACATTTGAGTTGTGCCCAGAGAGCTTCTTGCCTCTTGCTTGTGGAGGACTATTTTGGAAAGTAATTGTCTCCTGATGCCTTCTAGCTGTAATTAGAGGGTCAGGTATGGAATTTAGTATCTTAGGTGAATTTCTGGCCAACTTAATTATAACAGAAGGGACTCCACGAGCCACAGCCTCTCATTTTACTGCCCCAAAGAGAAATACTCTCTGATTTCCACTGGCCCGTGCCAGCATCCCGTTGGGAAAGTTTGGCGGGAAGGCGAGACCTCCCCTTGTGACTGTGCAGTCCATCTGGAGGCCACAGAACTATTTCTGTCTCTGAGGAGTGGAGAGACTGAGATTTCTTTTCTTTGCTCTTTTATTCAAGCGCATTTAGTCATGCCCTGTTGCTCTTGCCGCCGGGAGCACTGCTCAGAGCCTTCGCTCACTTTGATGCGTGCACAATCGCGGGAGCTTGTTAAAGTGCACACCCTGACTGGCCAAGGCGGAGTGGGGCTGAGCTTGTGCATTTGTCTCTGGCACAGCCTGTGGGCTACAAAGGGCATAGGAAGCCCAGGGAAATGGAAAGACCCTCTGAGGGCGTGGAGTTGTTTCTAAGCGTGGATTTGAGGACCTCCAGGTCCTTGTTACTATATTTATTTTTATTTTTCCCGTGATTCTAAATCAGAGGTCATTATTTAGAAGTTGCCCCGGACCCAGGGAGGGAGATCTGAGGACAACATTCGGGTGCCTCGGGGAGGTGGGCATCTGGCCCCTTGGCCTGGAGGAGGCCCTGAGACCCTGGTTCCCCCTGTACGGTGCTCTTCTGGCCTGGCATCTGTGGGGAGGGACTGCAGTGGGGGTGTGGAAAGTAGGGGTGGGGTGGGGGCAGAACTACTGCATGGTGTGGGAGGAGCTGAGTCCGAGGCAGTCCACCCACACAGGGCCAGAGGAGTGGAGACTGGGTGTGGCCCAGTGGAGTGCTGGCTCTGCCATTAGTTCTCCCCTGGGTCCCTGGGTTTGGCCTACCCAGCCTATGGTGACACCTCATTTGTCCCTCTGCCTGATTCTTGGAGGCCCAGTGAGCTCCCAGGAGCAGGGCCTCTGTGTATCTCTGGCTTTCTTCCAAGCATGCAGTGCCATTTACAACAACAGAGGACAGACTAAGGCAGTCATTAGATAGGAATTAGGATGCAGGTGGGGCAGGCCCTCTAGCAATCAGACCTGGTTATCACTGTTGGGTTAGAAACAAGTGCTTGAGGGATTCTCTGTTGCTGGCCCTAAAACTTGGAACACTGCAGCTCCAGAGACGCATGTACTTCCCCCACTCTGCCTGCCCCGGGATGGCCTCCCTGTCCACCTGTGCAGGTCCACTGTCCTCTTGGTCCTGGCCCAGGGGAGCTTGGCTGATGAGGTTCAGCATAGAGTGGACATGACTTCCGTGGGCAAGGGGCCTACAGCCCGAGGGCCAGGTGCATGTGCGGGGGACAGTCACAGGGACCCAGAGCGTCCTCTCCATCTCTGCTCTCTGCACGTTTTTGGGCGGCTTACCTGGGAAAGACCCTCCTGGAGTCCGAGAAGAGCTGCTGTTTGCACTTGGAACAAAGTGGGCACTAGGGGACGGGTCCTCTGTGCTGGTGGACTGCGGTGCCTGGACTTGGGGGTGGAGTGGGGAGGCCCAGTGGTGTAGCCCAGGGGCGCTGTCTGGGCTCTGGCTTTTCTGATCTGTGCTGTGAGGGGATTTGATGGACGTTATCCACAGACTTTAAGCTCTTGGGACCTCAGTCTTCCTTAAATCTCACTGAATGGTGGCAGAGATGCTGTGGGCAAGACCCTTGGTGCACTCAGCACACTTGAGGCTCAGACAGCTCAGCAGAGCCTCTGACATGGGCCTGCTCTCAGGAACATACCCTGTCAACAGGCGAGGTGAGTGAATGTATGGGAGCACGTGCCAGGTGGTAGCCGGTAGCTGATGTGGGACCCCCTTGGCAGAGGGGACACCCTTGTGCTTGGCTTTGCTCTCAACATCTGGTGCTGGGCCTAGCAGGAGGGGCACTGAGGGTCTCTTGTGGACCTAGTGGTGCAGGAAAAGCGTGAGACTGGCACAGAGTGGGGGCCAGGAGGCATCCCTATGAAGCCAGCAGCTTTGCCCAGCCCCAGAGGAGTGAGCACTTGGCCTGTAGGCACGTGGTCAGGCCTGGCCAGTGGGTGGAGTGGCATGGCTGCACAAAGGTCCGGGGAAGAACCATGCAGCAAGGACACACTGTGTTCTGGGCTGACCAACCTCCCCTACCCCTGGCTGTCACCAGTTCTTGGTGTTTCTGTTTCCACCCCTAGGGTTGTATGACTTGACTTGCTCTAACAAGGAACATACCTTCAGGCAGGAAGACTTCATTTCAGCATTATTTATATCTTCGAAAAGTTAGAACTAGTCTGACTATTCAGTGATAGGGGATTGATTAAACAAACTACGTAGAACCTGTGGAATCGGATGTTAGGTATCATTAAAACTATTTACCAAGACTTCATAACTCAAGGGGGGACATGCTTATATGCTAATATGAAGTGAACAGAGCAGGGCAAAGCTGATGACAAGCCCTGCGAGCAATGAGAAAGAGCAGTAGGGTCCTGGGTGGGAGGTTGGCGTTCCGATGGCAAAGCTTGGAAAGCCAGGCGGGAGCTCTGATCCATGAGTAGGCAGAGCCACCCCTTCTACAGCTACCATTTCTGTAGCTGAGCCTGAGGGCCAGGTGGAAATGGGACTTGCCCAAGGACACCAGCTGCTTCAGTAGATCGCTGGGTACAGGTGTGGGGCTCCTGCTTTCTATATAGTGAATCTCTTTCATGTGGAGTGGTTCCTCAGTACCTATGGGCGAATACTTCCAGGACTGACCCCTGAGGACACCAAAGTCTTAAAGAAGCTCAAGTCCCTTAGATAAAATGGGGCAATATTTGTATATGACCTATGCACATTCTTTCATATACTTTAAATCATCTTCGGATTACTTATAATACCTGATACAATATAAATGCTATATAGATGTTTTTTATACTGTGTTGTTTAGGAAACAATGACAAGAAAATGTCTGCATGTTTAATACAGATGCAACTTCCCACTCCCCTTTAGATATTTTCTGTCTGCTGTTGGTTAAATCTGATGATACAGATTGGAAACAGAAGGATGACTATATTTGCTTTTATTAATTAAAAAATTTTTATGGTGGTGAGTATGGAACCCAGAGCCTCTTGCCTGCTAGACAAGCGCTCTACCACTGAACTACACCCCTACGCCCTTTTGCTTTTAGATCTTTAAATTAGATTGTTTGGGAGTGATTGGGATCCTAATTTGGACCCAGACCTGCTATCCTCTGGAGTGTCAGCCAGGAAAAGTCTCCCTTATGTCACCACGCTGTTCCCTCATTGATGCCAGGGGTAGCAGCTCCTGCTCCTTTTGGACAGTCTGGTCTTTCGGGTATGAGGCCATGACATATTTGCCAAGTCCCCTGACTTGGACGGCCTCCGTTGCTTGATCTCACTTAAGAGTCCACAAAGCTGGACCTGCTAGGGGTAGAGGTGGGAGTCTTCACCTCCCTGAGCCAAGCGTGCATCAGAAACACCTCTTCAGAGTAGGATGGAGCAGGGCGAGGCGGCCCCAGGACAGAGCAGAGCAGGCTGTGACTGCAGGCTGGGAAAAGGTCCCTTTCATCATCTGGTGGGAGCAGCTCCTGAGAGCAATGGCAGAAGCTGGTAGGGTGGTTCTTTCCCAGCCTCTTCAGCTAACACTTTGGAGGCCGTAAATCTTTAAAAACACATTTTGGCCCAGAGGTTTCCCCGGCCTAATTTTTAAAATAGTGTAATTTTAAAGGCAATTTGATTCAGATGTTTCTCATCGCTTTACACTGAAACTGTCCAAATGCTGTCATATTTTCCTCCTCCATCATGGGTTTTCTTTCCAAAAATATTTCTGAACCTCTCTGTGTGCCTCAGCGAAGAGCTGGGAACCTGTTCACTCTAAGCTTTGGGCACAGTCACAGAGACTGGAATGTGAGACTCAGAGCTGGGTCTTGATCTCAGCGTTTTGCTGATCTCTGAAATCAAGCAGCCGGACAGGCTGGTCCAGACGTGCTCCCCGTGTGGTCCTCCCCTAGCAGCAGTAGCAGTTCCTGGGAACTGCTAGAAATACTAATTCTCCTAGTTTTTGGTGCTGGTTAGGGCACCCAGTGCCTTGTGCATGCTAAGCCTGATTCTATCACTAAACTAACCCCCAACCCCTAGAAATGCTATTTCTCAGGCCCCACCCCATACCTGCTGAATCTGAGCCTATGGAAATGGGGACACAGCAACCATGTTGAAAGAAACCTTCTGTGTGGTTCCAATGCAGTCTTTCCCCCACTCTTTTTTCTTATTTTTGTGGTGCTGCAGGTGGAACCCAGGGCCTCATGCTAGGCATGCACTCTTCCACTGAGCTGCACCCCCAGCCCTGATGCACTCTTAAGTTGGAGAGCCACTTGTTCTGGCTGCAGGAGACAGAGTGGGCCTTCCCATGTATAATGTGGGAGTGATACACAGCATTGCTTTGCAGAGACCACAGTGGATCAATAATGTGCTTCCGCATGTCCGACACAGGGCACTCATAGATAGGAGCTTCTAACACTAAGCAGATTAGTAGTGAGAAACAGGCCAGACTACCTGACTTCCTGATTGCTTCTCAGCTCTGCT